AGGTTTGGACAGCTTTTTTCCCTTAATAAATGAAATCATCATTTAAAAACTGCATTTTGTATTTACTTGCATTATCTTTGAGTAATATTTAAATTTGTTTGATGATCTGAAACATTAAAGTGTGACAAACATGCAAAAAAAGTAAGAAATCAGGAAGGGGGCCAACACTTTTTCACACCACTGTGTATATATATATATATATATATATATATATACAGTGGAGATGAAAATTAGAGAACAAAATCTGAAATATTGTTTATCTTCATAGCTCAAATTTTGAAGGAATAGTGGGTATTCCACTGTTCCACTTACATGTTTGACAAAATAACCAAGGCATTTCAACTAGTATCACTAGTTTCAACTAATATCACTAGTTTCTCACACTGTGCTGGTGTGATCTTGGTCCTCTCTACTTCCATTCTCTTCCATAGTTCGATAACTGTAGTGGGTTTCATAGCCATAACTTTGTCGCCAAGGATTTTCCAGAGATTTTCAATCAGGTTAGGTCAGGACTCTGGCCGGGCCATTTGTTCTTAGAACTTCAAGGAAATGTTTACCCGTTTTGCAGTGTGACGGGGGCATTTTCTTGCATGAAAATTGCAGGCTGATTGGGAGATGCTTGCAGGGAAGGAACCACATGTTACTGAAGGAGATAAACACAAATAAATTAAACTGGCTTTCATCAATAAAATTAAAAAGTGAGAGTCCATCACTAAAGTGAGAGTCCAAACAACATGCTCCTCAGCAAAGGTGAGCCTAGCATTTTGATTCTTTCTGCTAATGAGAGGCTTTGTCACTGCAGAGTGCACTTTCAGTCCGACTTCTCTTAAACATGCTGAAACAGATCCTTACCCTGATCAGCGCTGAACTGGCGAGCATTTTCATCTTGAACCGATTACCCATTGAGAGTCTTCGCATTATTCTGTCTTCTCATGTATTTGTCTTACGTGGACGACCAGCCTTTTTGGGGGACTTGAATGAATTAGTGTCATTGTAAACCTGCAATATTTGAGAAATCACAGATTTGGAATGACCAGCTTCTCTTGCAATGGCTGAAAGGGTCATCCCTTTGGCCTTCATCTGGACAACCTCCTGTCGCAGGGTTTCAGTCACCTTAGAGTGGCCCGCCATCTTGCAATCTCTGTGAAAATTAGAGGAATGTTGCCAGTTAAATGTCATATAATTAAGGAAATAAGGTGCCTGATTAACACCAATAACTTGGAGGTATCTGTATTGTAAGTGTTCTCTTATTTAGATCAGAGTTATTTTTCAAATATCTAATTTAAGTTTTTTATACTGTGCTTCAGAATACAATTAATTTATAAAATATGCTTAAAAACTGCTTTTCTACTCCTGTTAGAATTCAGACTAAGCTGTGACCTTGAAATTTAGGAAATTGTAGGTTGTTCTCTAATTTCGATCTCCACTATATGTACATATATATAAAATGTATACATTCTAGTATGTTATACTATATCGCATATAAACACTGGCCATCATCTGAATAATTACTATATTAACTCGTTTACCATTTCTCACCAGGTACTAAAAATACATTCACATTGTCAAGCTTGAAGAAGGCTGTGTCATGATCGGGGGTGCTGTGCCAATTTCATGCGGAAGACAATTTGGTGCCAAGCCCATGACAAGATCAACCAGCATGTCCTTTTCAGTACCTCAGAGACAAGTCAATCCATCAAAATTATGTTTGAGGTGCACATTAATTTTTAAGGAAAATAACGTCCTAAAACTCTCGTCAAGTTGTTCAAGAAAAAGTAACAACTCTGTGTTCTGAGTGTCAACTCGATACCATAAGACACCACAGAATGTATTAGTGACCCATTTGAAATTTGTGAGAAAGCATTAAGAATGTGTATTCAAAAATAGGTGGGCAGGAAATCAGCTAGGGTCCCAAATTGAAGTAAAATTAAATCTAAAATAAGTAATAAAGTGATTCAGCAGTTGCTTTCAGAAAGATATGATGGCACACACACACACACACACACACACACACACACACACACACACTACTACTGCACAGCAATGTTGACGGCTGCATTTTGCTATGTTGTCACCTGAGGACTGAGCAAATGAGGGTTCAAAATGACTTCCACCTCACTCAATATTCCATCCACATTTTTCACTGGGTGGGAGACCAGCCTGTCAATCATCCCCACTGAATAACAGAGCAGAAACAATCTGAAATTTCTAGACTGCAGAATATCTGACAAATCAATTCAATGACTCAATATAACTGTGACCACATCAGAGCAAATTGCATTAGCCATCACAAGGAAAACCACAAAATATCACTCATGGATTTTTAATACCAAGCAGCAGGAATGAAGAAGTCTGGGTAGGGAGCCGAAGGCGCAAAATGAACAGGGTGATATAGAGTCATGTTTTTTAAATAGTGCAGTACCATTGGGAATTTGAAAAGCTCTCTGTTCTGGACCCGTTAGCATGAACGCTACAGAAGGGAGAGAGAAAGACAAAAGGGAGGGTTGGGAACAGTGGGTATGGAGGTTGTTAGCTGTTCCACTGAGAAAAGAACAGCTGAGCTCAAGAGGGACGCTCTGTAGACAGACAGACAGACAGACAGAGAGAGAGACATGCACAGATGATAGATGAAAAATAACAACTTAGACTAACAGAGAACATTAATACAGATGTATGTTAAGAAATTAAGTCTCAGCTTTGCATAGCTTGCTTGCATGAAAATTGGACGTTATATATTTTTTACTCACCATTAGATGGAGAATCGCAAAAATAATGCCTGTTTTCACAAACATGCCCTCTGCCTGCCATTGGTGAAGTACCAGATAGTTCCGCCCACAAACTCACACCATTGGTTAAAGGGGTCATATGATGCGATTTCAATTTTTCCTTTCTCTTTGGAGTGTTACAAGCTCTTGGTGCATAAAGAAGATCTGTAAAGTTGCAAAGACTAAAGTCTCAAATCCAAAGAGATATTCTTTTTAAAAGTTAAGAGTCAACCACGCCTACCTAAAATGGCTCGTTCTAACACGCCCCCACATATCTACATCACTATGTGGAAATATTAGCATAATGCCGCCCAAATGTGCACGCATAGAAAGAAGGCATGGTTTCAGGAACAGCAGTAGTGTTGATGCAGCCATGTCAGGGAGATGCTGTGTTTCAGTACGAAAGCAAAAGCACTTTATTTGGCCTTCTGGAAGTAGATGCAATTAGGAATCATTGGTAAAGATGCATTTACAACAGAACAGCACAACCCAGATGTTCGAACTTGTGCAACGCATTTTATGTACGACCTTCTGAACCTAGAAGAGTACAAAGCTGGCTGTGCACAAAGGCTATTTCTAAAAAAAAAAAAAAAAAGGGAAAATTCCCACTTT